ATCTTAAAGGCAGCAAGAGAAAAGCAATTTGTTACCTACAAAGGAGCTCCCATAAGGCTGTCAGCTGATTTCTCATCATAAGCTCTACAGGCCAGAAGGAAATCGCATGAAGTATGTAAGGTAATGCAAAACAAAGATCTGAAACCAAGACTACTCTATCCAGCAAGGCTATCATTCAAAATAGATGGTGAAATAAAGAGCTTCACACACACACACACACACACACACACACACACACACACACACAAGGCTAAAGGAGTTTATCACCACCAAACCAGCATTGCAAGAAATGTTAAAGGGACTGCTGTAATAAGAAGAAATAGAGAGAGAGAAGCATTGGCACAAAGAATTAAAGAGGCAATAAATAAGTTCCTATCAATAACCTTAAATATAAATGGATTAAATGTTCCAATCAAAAGACATAGGATAGCTGAATGGATTAGAAAACATGACCCAGATATATGCTGTCTGCAAGAGACCCACCTCAGAACAAAAGACTCACACCGGATGAGAGTGAAGGCATGGAAAACAATTTTCCATGCAAATGAAAAAAAAAAAAAGCTGGGGTAGTAATACTCATATCTGACAAAATAGACTTCAAAATGAAAGCCATAACAAGAGATAAGAAAGGTCACTACATAACATATATGTACCCAATATAGGAGCACCTAAATATATATTTTTTAAAAATTCTGCAGGTCTTTAAGGGAGAGACAGACAGCAATACAGTCATATTAGGGGGTCTTTAATATCCCACTGACTTCACTGAATAGATTTTCCAGACAAAAAATCAACAAGGAAACAGTGACTCTAAATGACACACTAGATCAGGTGGATTTATGGAACTGCCATTTGAGGCAGTGATCCCACTTCTAGGAATATATCCTAAGAATCCCAAAACACCAATCAGAAAGAATATATGCACCCCTTTGTTCACAGCAGAGCAATTTACAATAGCTAAGATCTGGAGACAGCCCAAGTGCCCATCAGTAGATGAATGATAAAAAAACTGTGGTGCATTTACACCATGGAATACTATGCAGCTATGAAAAAAAAAGGATCTCTTACCCTTTGGGACATCATGGAGGGACCTGGAGAGTATTATGCTAAGCGAAATAAGCCAGTCAGAGAAAGACAAGTATCACATGATCTCACTTATATGTGGAATCTAATGAACAAAATAAATTGATTAACAAAATAAACCCAGGGACATAGAAGCATGGAACAGACTAAGGGATCTCAGAGGGAAGGCAGGGGTAGGCGAGAAGGTGGAGAGAGATTAATGAAGGAACTTATAAGCTCATATGCACAACCCAAACATTGGTATGGGGAAGGCCTGGGGGTGGGGTGGATGCAGGGTGCAGGGGGTCAATGGGGGGAAAGAGGGGGACATCTGTAGTATTTGCAACAATAAAGATAAATTTGAAAAAACATAACGGAATACCATTTTAAACATAAAGATGTATAGATTAAAAACAAAAGCTTGGAAAAAGATATTCCATACACATAATAATCACAAGAAGGGTGAAGCAGTTATATTAATATCTCACAAACTATATGCTACAGAATAGGAAACATTACAACGCATGAAGAGATGAATTAATCAAGAAGTAATGAAAAACCTAAATCTATATGTGTCTAAAGCACAGCTTCAAGTACATGAAATAACATGACATAAATACAAGAAAAATGCACAAATGCCAAATATAGTTGGAGCTTTCAACACTCTTCTCTCAATAACTGACAGAACAACTGAACATAAGATTAGTAGAAACAGGAACTGAAAAACACTGTTGATGAACTTGACCCAAGAGACATCTATAGAACATTTCACTCAACAGCAAAAGACTGCACATTCTTTTCAAGTACATATGAAACACCCAGCAAGATGACCTTATGGGCCACAACACAGTCTCAATATATGTAAAAATCTGGAAAATCACTACCTAGAAAGATATCTTTTAATCTCCAAATACTGAAAATTAAACAATAGTACAAAATAACATAAGGGCAATTTGAAAATTATTTTGGCATTTAAAAAAAAGAAAACATAACATAATTGTGTAGGGTAAAGTTTCTACTTCTGGCATGGCAATGTGAGGAGCTCCACAGAAGCACTCCCTAGTGAAAGTGGTGAAAATTATAAAAAAGCAACCTTAAATGGTCTTTAAATAGTCTCTGGAAATGGTCCTAAGGACATACAGTTAATGAAGAAATATTTCAAAACCAACTAAAACTGGGTAGGAATAGTGAAAGTCTGTGGCACCTGAAATATGGCCTGTTCCCTCTCCCCTCACTCCCAGATCAGCACAATGAAAACTCCACTCCAGTGCCCTCTCTCCCCTGAGTACCCAGTCAAGAACTACAGTATCTTCCCATGAGGGGCAGATTATCAGCATTTCTCATCCCACCCCATGCTACTTGTATCACAGGCTAAGTTCCTGGCAAGTGTGGCTGGAAGATGGGGGCTTCCTTCTGCGCAGAATCTACACATGGCATAGAGGTTCTCTTTTGTTTGTAGTACACTGGGAACACAATGACCCTGATTCTCCTTGACACAGGTTGTTCATAAAGAAAAGGTTCCATACCAGCAGAGGGAAACAATCATACACCCACCATCTCTACCAAGTACCCTGATCCTAAAATAGGCATGCCACTCAAAGAGAAGTGCACCACTGTCCCCACACCAGCTTGAGCCCTGGCTCAGAGATTTTGCCTAGGCAGAGAGGGAGGCCATAAAGCAGGAAGAGAAACTTATGTCATTGGCAACAGACTGTGGGAAACTTCAAGCCTAAGGTATTCTCAAGATCAGTGAAGGGTATGGTGAAAAGACTTGGAGGGTAGAGTAAAAAATAAATTAAAAAGAGACTGGTAAAATCTTCAGAGATATAAGCTAACCATAGGTCAGCTAGTTTACTAAAGAATATCAGGGAAAGAGACTGCTAAGAAGAATGTTCTCAGGTTTAAAAACACTGAAATATTGACCCCTAAAATGATCCTGTAAAGGAACCCAAATTGAACTGAATCCCTTGGTGAAGCAATTTCTGCTCGAGGACGTTGCTGAAAACAATAAAGCAAACAGCCAGAAATTAGTGGAGCTTAACAGCTGAGTGAGGTCAGGAAGAGAGTCAAAAAGGCCCTGTCATCCCTGGGCAACTGTGAACATACCTAAGGAAACCGTCAACAAAATGAAAAGACAACCCAATGAATGGGAGAAGACATTAGCTAATGACACATTGGATAAGGAACTCACACAACTTAACCCCGAAAAAACAAACAACCCAATTTAAAAAATGGACAGAGGGCCTAAATAGGCATTACTCTGAAGAGGTCATACAGATGCCAATAGACATAGGAAAAGATGCTCA